ATCTAACAAGACTGTTTGCTTTTAATTATTCCTTGTAATTGTTGAGTTATGGTATTTTTTGTGATGGCAATTATTTTCGTATATTGATAAAAAAATCAAAGTAAAAAATATTACCAGCTTTCCTTTAGGAAATAAAGTCTAAAGTACTAGCCCCTCAAGGAATACTTTAGATGGTTTTATTCCTTTTTCCTCTCATGTTTGGAAAAATATATGTGTCGTTATCTATTGTATGTAACACATTCTGCATTTATTTTTCTGGCTTCGAGTGATAGAGTCACAAGAAGGCGGGATATATTAATCAGATAAATAGATATGTGTATTATACATTGTTAACTTGTCGCATTTCTTCTCGAACTGCCCATAATATTGATAATGTAATGCTAATTCTGAAGTACAAAGGCCATCAGGGCGATACATGTATTCAAGCCATTTTTGAGATATGATATTTATAGCTCGAATTTTTTTCGCAACTTCTCTTGCACGTTGAATTTTTTTGATAGCATTCTGTTCCCACAACTCATACCTGTGTAATGCATACTCATTATCGAAATCATATCCTGAAATAGATTTTTGCTCGATTTTCAGTAAGTACTCATCATAATTTACTCCACAATATGTATTTCTCGTACAATGAGAAGCCCAATGTCTTTCCATTCCTATATGATTATAATTTCCAATAGTTTTCCGGTATATACTAATCGATTACAAGAGAAACAGACAGCAATATAAAATCCATTAACCTCAGACCAATATGTTGTTAACTTCCTAGCTTCAAGATATTTTTTGCTATTATAAGGTAAGAGATCATTTCTCTAAAATATGTAAGACGTTCCCGAATCCGTTTCATCCAATCGGTAGGGGTCTCATTCGATAAAACAATACCCATCTCCAAATATTCATCCCATTCAGCATCGGTACAATTGGTTCCACGTCTTTCACTTAAGCTAGCCATTTTATATAACCTATTTGTAGTGTTTATGGAAGTTATATGTGATTTGTATTGTGTTTAGGGATTTAGATTTAATAATTTTATACAATTATTCGACGATATACAGATGATGTAAAAAACGCATCTATGGTTATTAACAGTTATTTACGAAAGGGTGAGTTCGTTGTATTTGATCTGGATAAATCTGAGGATGATGAATTTGCAATACGTCTAAGGATCGATACACCATTAAATTTGCAGAAGGAAATAGAATTGCAACAAAGGAAAAGAATAAAAAGCGAACCAACAGGGCCTACAAATTCTGAATCTGATAAATAAGGTGTAACGATCAAATAATTATATTTATTAATACACCCCGCATATACTTTTCTCAAAAATGATAATCCATAATCAGTATATTATGTAATTCTCACTGGTTGGTCATCAATCATGAAGATCGTGCTAGGGTTGAAGTGCGGTTGAAGTGCGGTTATGGCGCATGAAATATATTTATTATAATAACTGACTCGCGCCAAATATAGTATCTAAATCATGTATTATTCGGCATTTATGTTTTTTGTATCAATAAAGGAATAGATATATATATTTTTTCTCGCCTGAATTTATTTTGGCACGTTACAATTTGTAACACACACGTGATTTTTATTTTGGATCTATTAATAATGAGACATAATTCATATGCTAATCAGAAGTTTTTGAAGCATCGTAAGTCCTCGAAGCTTTGGAGGGTGATGCTTCAACAGGTGATTCATTTATGCCAACATGAACTTTAGTATAAGGAACGATCTTCTGAACCATTAGATAATAGTCCTTATTCGACTCTGTTATACCAAAAATAAAGTAGATGCGTGAATATGTAAAAAACAAAATGCGTCAAGGCTGAAAGCTATCAAAATATATACCTTAAATAAATAAACATTTTCAATTACTTCCTTCAAAATGTATAATTGATCCTTAGTATTTGGTATATTAAATTCAGTTAAAGTATCAACAACATATAGACCTTTACTTGTTCGATGCATTACATAAATTGTAAACGTTCGCTCTAAGTTTGATAAAAAGACCGTAAGGTTTGCAATAGATTTAACAAAATGCTTAGCCCTAAATATGTGTTACTTACGGTAGACGACAATTCCATATGATTCAACAAAGGATACTTGTTGTTCAGTAACCCACGTGATAAATAGTGTTGACGTTGATAATGAATAGAAATTTGCATACACTTCAACACTTTTTCAGTGTCATTGTTTAATTTTTTGATATCAGCGTAGAGGGCATTGCCGATAACGTCTAAGAATCCTACCTCTAGAACAACAGCCTTTACGTTAATTGAATATATCCCATCTTGGGAACATCCAATGCTAACTCGTTGCTTAGATTGCCTAGTTTCATTTCTCTGCGTTTTGTTTGACAAATTTTCTACCTCCCCTCTGTGCAAAGACAACCAGTTAGCGATTAAAGGAATAGATAACAAATAATAATGGCAGATCAGATACTTACGTTTTTACCTTGATTAAATCCATGATGTCGTCAAAAACTTTAACAATAATGGGATTTACAAAATTTTCTCGATAAGAAAGTTCACATTTGATCCGGATCCAATAGTAAGTTGGTGGGCGCATCGAAAAGAAATAGACTAAAATAGATGACATAAACTTAAATGTCACAAATAGAAATGACAATAATCACAAATATTTATACTCACAAACGTTTATAAATATCCTGTACCCATATAAGATCATAATGTTCTTTATGAATAAATTTTCCGGTATATGGGTTTTCAAGAACGACCTCAATAGTATCACTCAAAGAAATTACATCGAATACGGATTTACTTTCTAAATGAGATTGGTACTTTTGTACAAGGGGATTTATAATTTCTTTTCCATTTTTCAAGACGGATTGTTTTTGATTGATCAGATGGCTCTAACTATAAAGGATAAGCAAAATTATTAAAATTTCACTAAAATATTAAGCTTACAAACAGACAATGTAATACCGAGTTCCAAATATCCTTTAGGGTATGCTTTTCAGAACTTGATAATTTATTAACGGGATTTGTGATATGATATTTCGCTCCGAAAGGTTGATGATTCTGTAATCAAATAATCGGTAGTTAATGGATTTTATTTTTTCGATTATTTTGTAGACACCTTCCGTCACATTCTGCGGAGTCTGAAAATAGAACATAGATCAGATGGGTATGCTACAATTTTAAAATTGTGTAAATGAGCGTTATTACCTCTTGGGATAAAAGATATATATCTTCATTAGCAATATTGTCAATTTCATTATTGACCTCTCCGTGATTTTTCCCATTATCCAAATCAGAGGTCTCATCGTAAACGTATGATTCATTGTTATTGCACTGTTGTGATTTATTTTCGCATTAAGAAAATATCAAAAGTAATAAGACATCATTACGAGATAGAATATAATTACTTCCTGGACCCAATGAGGGTAAGCATTTCGCGAATAGATTTGATGTGGCGGAGTACAGGGCGAAACCAATCTTCAATTTTTGCTCTTTTGGGAACTTTATTATAGTCCTAAAGATTAAAATTGTAGATGGATTAGAAACAAATACAAATAATAGTTATAGCCAAATAATGCGTACCTGATTTTCAGGAACCGGAGCCTCTCTCTTTGAAGATTCAACAATGGGCCCATTTATAGTTCCAGATGTCCCGCCACTTATAGTTCCAATACCTTGGCCAACGAATGTCGGATTGTAGAGATGGACTTGTTTCTTGGTATGCTCTGACTCCCAGTTTCGCGCAATTTTGTAGTCGGGTTTAGGATCCTACATATAAAAGATGTTATTTGAATATTTTGACAACTAACCCAATTATCTATAACCCCATAATTTTCTTAACCCCATACTGTTGGATCAGCTTAGGAACCTTGAACATCAAACAACCTCAGGGAATTGTTTGAGCTCCAACAGGGCCGGTACCGAGTTAGTTTAGGAACCTTGAACACAGTAGACCTCAGGGAGCCACCTGTGCCTCAATACCGCCGGTGACAAAAAACCTCAGGGAATCCTTTGCCACCCATTTTCCACCCCCAAAAACCCAATACTCGCCTTTTTATATCGATCGAGCAAAGCTTTGGCTTTTTTACTTCTGAGTCCTTCTTCTTTAGATATAGTTTTAAGACATGAAATGTAATATGATATTTTGGTCAGCCAATCATATCAAAGTTCTTATGGACCAATCATACAAAGTCTGATATGCACGCTCCAGCTCATTCCCAAGGGAAGAGATTGACTGTATGATCATTATATATTTCTATATGATATGGGAAATTGGGCTCTGTGAAAATTTGGGGATAGGGATATATCGATTGGGATACAAGTGAGGGAAATTTATACTGACATATAATAGAGGAAATCGGTCCAGCCCCAAAGCTGGGATATATCCGAGGGTGGGTTACAATAGGGGAAGTTATAAACGAGGGATGACTATAGTAAGGTACCACAAATCAACAAAGTGCCACAATCATTATCATTATCGCAAGCTAAAAATAGTGAATGCAATCTAATATTATTTTTAGAAAATATAAATAACAACCTATAATTAACAGAGATTTTTGATCGTCACATATATATAACACAAGTGTACAAGAAACAACGGTTTCGTACTGCCGGAGTTTGTCAGTGTGTTTTGAAAGTTCACTACTGGTATTAAACCTGGAATGATCACAAGAAGCAGGATCAATCCTTGTGAATGTAGCAGAATTGATGTCGTGTTATCCATACGCTTCCTAAGGACCTTCTCCATAGACTTTTAAGACCACTACGCTTCCACCATAGATTTCCATTACTTGCTCCCCTATTTTTTGTCACACGTTTGACTTTCTTTATATTGTTCCAAGAAATTTTTTGAGAGATATAATAGTCAACCAATTCAGGGTTATCAATAATCCCGAAGAACTAGTTCCTGATATGTCACGTTGTTTTAATACATTGGGAATATTACAAATACAATAAGAATGAACAATATGAGGGTTGTTAGCCTGAACAATCATTGGACATTACTTTTCGTAGTACAACAATTAACTTTAAGAACTTATAAATAGAGCCAGCGCTTGAAAACTGTTGCCCAAATTCCCGCATACTACACAACACATTATGCGAATGAATCTACTCTTTATTATTACTCGAGTTTTGCTCTCTTGGGATTCAACATGTTATGTCTACCGAAGATAATTTTCAGAGTTTGGGCTGTCTGCTTTTGAAAAACGACAAAGATAAAACTATGCTTCAACTGGTTGCTAAACTACGATAGGTTAAAGAACGCTAAAACCTAGTAGAGTAAGTCTTAAAGAAAAATACTCTTCTCAAACGACCCAAACGAACAAAATACAAAGCATAAAGGCTACAAAAGCGTATATCAATATAATTGGTCATATCAAACAACAGTATCAAGTCGTGAAATTATCAAATCAATTTCTATACAACATTTTAGAAGTCTTGTTTCTATTGATGAATGGCCAGTATAGGTGAGTCGAGAAAGCACAATACATATGTTCGTTATTCTTAATCGTAAATAGTATATTACATTACCCCTTGTTCGGAATGCAAAATCCGTAATATTTTGATTACTAATCAATTAATAATTTGCTGTTTTTCATAAAAGGATATATTAAAAGTCATAGGTTCATACGCATGTTGTTTCACTACGTTATTCTGTTTCACAATACAAGGCTGGAAGGCCTTCTTGTCTAATTAACGCGCTTACTTAAATATGCGTGAATAGATTATCATGAGTCAGGACGCAAATGGTATTGTAATTGCTGTATTTGAATCACAGAACTTTGCACTAATTCAGTGATCTAATTTTAAGATGTACTGTGTCTTACGGTATCGCATCGTTGTGTCATGTCACCATTCGTTTTCATCGTCTGACTCAAAAAGGGAATTCATTACTCAATTATCATCTAGAGGGCATGACGTTTGCCCAACCGCGAACATTCCTTACGTCAAGCAGGGTGGGGGTTATTTATTATGAGGGGGACTGCTGTGAATGACAAATGCTATAAATAGATGGTTCTTCCTAACTTAAAGCTTAGTATATAATCTTATAGCGTTCTCCTCAACCTCTCTAAAAAAATGGCACCCATTGGTAGCTTAACAACAAAACTTCTTTCAATTATTGTCCATTTTATTGGAATCTATGCGTCGCCGTTTGAAACTTCAGGTTATGACTGTTTTTATAGAGAATGGTAGGCTAAATACACATATGAGATGCAGCGTGCGTGCTCTTCTTTTATAATTTCATGACAGTATTCATTGTCATTAACTATCGTCATTTTGGCTTGATACATCATTTATTGCATTGTATAATAAGCAGCTCTACTCCACAAAAAACACCAGACATGGGAGTTAACTTGGACAGTTCAAGCACTTCAGACGACCCGACATCAGCGGCTGTATTAGTATCAGACCTGCTACAAAATACCGCAAACCTAAATCCATTTATGAAAGTTGTAATTGTTATAGTTGGACTTGTCGCTATTATGGTGCTATACTGTTTGACTTGTTCAATCTACAGTTTATGTGCCAGGTCACAAGATAGCGCTAATTCGATCCCTCACAGCAATTGTATTGTATGCAGCAAAATTACTGTGAACCAAAGAATTTCACAATAAGAGGAAAGTTGACAGTTGGTCGCAATACCAACCATCAAACAATGAAATGGCATAATAAATAGTGTGAATATATAAGTTTATGATTTCAACTTTTGACTGTACTATGAATAATAAGTAAATTTTAACAGGTTAACGATTTCGGTAATTAATAGTTAACTGCAACTATAATTCGAAGAACAAAATAGGATTAAAAAATAGAGAAAGAAGCCAATATTTGATTGCTCAAAAAACTACTGCATAAACTTAACAAAAAAATATTAAAATAAGGCCTATAATCTAAAGTTTTTATTGACATAAAATCAATAATTTTATTCCTTTACCGTTGCTTTCTATTACCATCTTACATCTCCTTTTCATTGACCTGATACAGTTAATTAGAACATTATTCAAAATTCTTCTGCCATATACTGCTCTAATTATAGGCATACACATTTCTACGTTTCTTTTAACAATAACTCAAAGATTTTTAACACTGGTGGAAGTCATATAGTTAGCAAAGGGTTTCCACTATGCATATCTCTAGCAGCGTAATTGTATGTTTGGTGTTTGCTAGTAATATTCCATCGTTCGCCAGAAGTTTATACTTTGCAAATGACTAGCATAAACTGCAGAAATGTCAGTAGTTTGACAGAGGTAATTGATAGTAGTAAAAGCAACGGACATGTAGCTTACTATAACAAAATATAACATACATTGTGTAAACTCATAGTAAACAATATGCTTTGTAAATTTTTATGGTAACGAATTTAGCTTGGACATTTCCTAAATTCTGTAATAGTAAACAGAATTAACCAATAGAAGTTGATGGGTCATCTAAATACGAATAGCCTTATAGTGATTTATTATTTATCAGTTCTGTTTATTACTCTGTCAAAATGCGATAATTACTGCTATTGTCTTTCAATATGCTCACGAAGAGCCCAGATAGGATATGTGTCAGAAGGCTTAGGAATTATTCCTTTGAGTTCTTCGTACTTTCTTTCGTAAGTGTTCACAGTAATTCTTTTATCAGGACAACTGCGCAAATGCTTTCCTTTTTTCTTCATCTCCGCTCTTCTGAATCGTTCAACTTCATCGACTATTTTATCACGAATGTTCAGAGCCTATATTCATATATAACAAATTGTTAGCAAATATAAATAATCAACTGACTATCAAGTGATTCACATTTAATTTACCTCATCGGAGCGGAACGGCAGGACAGGTACATATCTTACACGTACCCCGTTTTCATCTCCACTAATCTCAGGCGAGCAAACTTCACTTGTGAATGCTTTCTTAACTTTGCTTACAGGACGACATAAAATTCCTTCTAGGCGATTGATAGCATCACCATTTTTTTTTTTTTTTGGTTTCTAAAGAAATTAAGAAAAGAAAAGAAAAGAAAAGAAAAAAAGTTACGCATAATAATTTTTGCATTTTGCGGATATAATAATAATAAATTACTTACATCTATTAACCGTTTGTTTCGCCTGCTCCTCGTCGCTTCGTTTTTGATTTTCTCGCCTGATTTTCCTGCTGCACGTTTTAAATACGTCTGTGCTATCCGCCTTACATTATATCTATTCCAACTCTCCCTACGACCTAATGACGCATTAGATCAAGTAATTACTAAACAAAACATTTTACAGTACTTACGCACGTCTTCATCCTGGATTTTATGTTCTTCATCCATTGCCTTCACATACGCCTCCGTTACAAGTTCGTTTTTGTCATCAGTAAACCGCGAATTTAGATTGTAGACAAGCCCCACATCCAATTGCGCATTGTCAGGCAATACACCTTCTTCAATTAATTTTGTACGCCAATGAATGCTACTCATTTTTTTTAGTAAGCACAGTATACAAGATTTTTGGCGGTGAAGAAGAGCTTGAAGAAGACGATGATGAATTGTCGTTATTATTAATCTTATTGAAGCTATCGAAAGCCTCTTCAATATTTTCTTTAATGCTATCGAGAAATAACTTTTGTCTATTATTTAACTCTTCCATATCTTCCTCTATTCTTCGTAACTTATTCAAAAGTTTTCTGAGTAGTGGCTCTGGCTTGCGTTACTGCAAACTCGTCAAAGTCTCTCTTTTTTACCAAATCCCTCATTTCTTGCATAAGAGAGTCGGGTTCATCCTGAGAGATAGTAATTTCAGCGGTATTGTTGTTGCGTCTGTTTCTCATAGCTCTCCAAGTATTAGCATTAAGAAAATAATAGTGAAGGAAGAGCGCGAAGGGATCGTAGCGCGTAAAAGAAAATAATACGTCATTGTTTGTAAACTAATACTAATATAGTATTCCAATAAGACTTGCACCAATAATAATTGAGTGCCAATAATAATTGAGTGCGGCGTAATTAATGTCAGCAATCGAGCCGTCTGGAAAAATTACAGAAAAGTGTTCGATATTAATATTATTAAATATTGGTTCGCTATATAAGGATCTTAATCTGGAGTAATTCCAGTCACTCCAGCCTTAATTTCATGACCAGAGTTGGGACATTAAAATTGTTACACGACGTCATAAGTTCACCGACAGTACATTTCACCGACAATTAACTACCAAAAAAGGATAACTTCGAAATAATGTTGGTGGAGGAGACGAAATGATTGCCTCCCATGTGGAAACTATGGTCGATAATACAACGCAATACTTTAATTCTCTGTAATAGTAAAGCAATTTTGCTCTTTTCATTCACGTAAGTAAGTGTCTATGCGGTTAATGATGAGGGGCGTAACTTCTACCATTAGATGAATACAATTCTATTGTTTAAAAACTATTTATCGTATTCAGCGATGCGATGAATTACTTTTAAGCTCAACAGTTCCTTTAATCTTTCTACGTTAGATGAGATGGCCTCCTTGTTGATCAAAATCTGATCTTCGGAAGGTTGTAGAAATAGCGCACTTCACATGGGCTGTTTCCTTCGTTTTCTGCGCTCTCTTCCATAATCGTACGCACACGTTTTGTGCCTTGAAGTAAAAAGTCCTTACATGCCTATGGTTTCTTGGTGCATCTTGATGTACAGTGTGTCAAAAAAAAAAAAAACCGGAATAAGTTTTTCATTCATTGTGTCACAATGAATGGACCAAATTACATGATTTATAGCTTATTTAAAAGCTGAGAACCAACAGATTTTATTAACAGCAATTAATAAGAGATTCTCTCTCCATGATTTTCTACAA